AATAATTTTTTTTTGGCAAACTAGATTTTTTATTTCTCTAGATACTATTGATAATCTCATGGCTCACTTTTTTAAAAAAAATTCTAAATTTCTTAGAAGATGAACGGTATGTGGATTTAAATACACATTATGCAATTAAGGATACAAATTTCAATTATTTCCACAATAATTTTTATTGTACTTTAAACTATAAATATATAAAATTTTATTTAAATATAACAAATATTAAAGGTTTAAACATTTTAATTTTCATGAAAATCTATAAAACAATTATTTGTGGGCGTAAAACATAAATATACACCACATTTTTTGCAAGATACTTTTGTTATAAATAAGCATCCTGGCATTTTACATCTACCCTTCTTATCATTATATTTTGGCCAATGAGCCGTGAGGTCTTTCCTAACCTCTTGAAGTGGTAAATATTGAGCTGGTCCTTTTTTACATTTTTCCCGATAACCAGTTTGAACTGATTTTCGTTTTGGAATATTGTTTGAAGTGCATTTGCCATATTTGCAAAGGACTTCCGCCACCGAAATTTTGAAATTGTACAAACTTAATCGATCCTTGCCTGCTATTGATATACTATTATAATCCCGTTTGTATAGCAACCAAGAATTTATAAGTAACATGTCGAATACATGAAATAAAATTCGATGGTACCATTTTCTTGATTTGGTATGAATTCTATATAATGAAAGTAAAGAATCCATAAGATCTACACCTCCCATTGATTTATTATAAACTTTAACAATGTTTGGACATTTTATCATTATTTTATCCTTTTTTTTTCTATCATATCTTTCGCAATCGATAAGAGGATGTGCACCTACAAAAGTGCTCAATAAGGTCACAGCACGATTGTCGTGCCACTTCACTGAATTTAATTCAACCCCGTTTATTATTGTTTTTTTTTGAAACAAAAAATCCTCGTCCTTTTTTTTTCAACTCCTTATCTGTTGGGAAGTTGATATTTGGTAGTCGATTACCTCTGACCGTGGCCGCGCAAAATATCCCTCTTTGAGCGAGTACGACTTGCAAATTTGGTGAACAAAACCAGTTATCAAAAAATAATTTATAATTAATTTGCTGTGGTATATAAGAAATTAAACGTAGCACAGCATTGCCACTTGCTCCAACATCAGGCAATCCTTCCGCTGGTAGTATTTTCCCAGAGTATACTTCAAAATTATGGAGAAGGCCATCATCTCCGCATAGTAGAAAGACTTTATAGCCCCATTTTTTGGGCTTTTGGGGGTTATATTGCTTTAATCTGCTCATCCCTTTGTATGGAATTATTTGCTCATCTACGCAAATATTTTCCCCTATCGATAAAGATTTTAGTATATTATTGGTTATAGTTATCAAGGGTCTAATTTTATGAAGTGGGTCATGGCCCTCACTTCCAAGTGGAATAAATTTGTCATTATCATTTATATGAATGAATGATTTGATTTGTTCCCAGCGATTTAGGGTCATGACATCAGCCACCTTGGCCTGTCTTGTATTGGTGGCCCAGTAGAGACGTGCTCTGGGAAGTTTAATAATTGACATGTAAAAAATAATTCATATAAATTTTTCTAATTCATCTATCGATAAATTCAAAGGTTTGTTGGAATTACATTGAATTGCATATAAATTTGATTCGTAAACAATTAGAGGTAATAAATCATTGAGATATGTATTATAATAATCCATTGGTTTTTTTACTTTATCAACCGTTGGGTTTTCTCCTTTCCACTTTGGAATAACTAATGGTAAATTAGTTAAGCAATTTTTCCAAATCATTTTTCTCACGATTCCTTTTTCATTATTTATATTTTCATCCTCTTCCGATTCATCACTCTCATTGAAATCTAGATATTTATAGATTATATAAGAGCATACATTTTAAATATACCTAAATCATTATTTTGGGTTGACAGAAACTCCTCATCAGACGATTCACTTAAATTTGAATCTTCACTATCATTAGGTATGGTACCACAATTCATAATTCTAAAAATATAAAACTCAAATAAAATACCTTATTTGCATAATGTGTCTTTAAAGCAACGTATGATTATTACAAAATATAATTATCAAAAATAATAAATATATATAAAATAATTTCATAAACATTAATTTTTACCTTTTATTTATCTAATTTTAATGTTTTGAAATTTGTCAAATATATTATTTATCCTTTTACGATGTGTAGAAAATTGAGAAGAAAAATTTTATAAAAAATAGCCATTTTTAAAAATAGGGTTTAATAAAATGCGAAATTAAAAATAAATAATAGATCACGTGGCCCAAATTAAAATTCCAATCGAAGATATAGAATATGGCTTCAAATACACACCATGCAATTGATTTAAAATTTATTTATAAAATATTTATTATATAATTTGTGGTATGTGGCTTGAGATACACAGTATGCAATACAGGGTTAATAGTTTCAACATCCTGATTATGGGTTATTGGGGATATAAATTCTTCGGGAATGTGTGGACTAATTTTACTTAACTGGTATCGGCACGAATTACATATTTTTTGTTGAAGATATAAATCATTATTTTATTTATATTAAGCATCCATGGAAGAACTGATCTTAAATTTTTTTTAAAATTTTTATGTTTTGGTTTATTCAGTGGATTGCAACACTTAAGCTTATCTTTTAAAGGTTTCATTTAGAAAAATTTATTTATTTTTAACGACAAGTAAAAATATAAAAAATTAGTTTTTTTTTAAATTAGAAAAATGTTAAAGAAATGAATCGGTGTTTGTGAAAAAATATTAAAGAAATCAATTTTTATTTTTAGCAACTGTGATTTATCGATTAAATTCGCTAATTAATTTTGCTAATCAGTTTATTTTTAATAATTTTAAGAAAAGATAAAAACAGCTGACTTACTTTTATTAATTTTTTCAGTGTTAAACATATATGTTCAAAATTCAAAAACTTTGATCAAAAATTTTATAGAGAATGCTCAAATTCATTTGATACCCAAAATTTTATAACTAGTTAATTTTTTGTTTTGCTTAAAATTTTTTTAAAAATCTTTGAAATTTTCTGGTTAATGACAAGTTCATAACATTCTTTTTATCTTGATGGGTATGACTTAGTCTGGGGGGGGAATGAAGGGTAGGCCGGGTAGGCCTGGTAATTATGTGATTTTCGATTTTTTCCTTAATAATTTTCCTGCACTCCTTTAATCCAGCTTTTTTGTTCTCATGTTAGTCGGATTTTTTAATTATTTTTAATTTACATTGAAATATTAAAAAAATTATTAAATTTTTTTTTCCTGCGAATATATCAGGGGAATAAGGTTTACAAAGTTAAATAATCGAATTTTATGATATATTTTACATTAAAATATTTTTAATCAATAAAAAAATAAATTTTAACATATTAAAACTATTATATATAGTGCCATCTATTTTTTTTAAAGTATAAAAATAGCAATATTTTTTTAAATAAATATCCAGCCATGCTAATTGTTGAAGAAATTATTAAAAAAATAGTAAAAGGATAATATTTCTTAAAAAAATTAAAAATTGGAGATCATATTCATTTCGAAATATTAATTTCAAATTTTCAACTGACCATAAGATGACCCATATTTAAAAAAAAAATTAGTTTTGATGTTTTTGCCATAATTAACAATTATTAACTTAGCTATTGATATTAGATTCAATATTTGATCATATTTAGTTTTAAATTAAAAACTAATTATTTAACATCAGTAAAAAGCAAAAAAAGACGTTTTTTGGACCTTTAACCCCGATTATCTCCTCTAATATAATTGCTAATGCGCTAAAATTTCATTTATGATCTAATGGGAACATATATAACCAATCTACAGCTTTTTATTGAAATTGAATGGGGTCGGCCGAAAATCTTGATTTTTTTGCTCATTTGACATGGAATGACCCCTTTTGTAACATGCTTGCAAATAACACTTGATAAAAATGAAGGCTACCTCTCTATTGCCTTACATGGACGAATTAAAAATGTGACTTAAGATATTAGCTACCTTGCATTCATCAATTTATTACAAGATTCTGGAACAACAAAACTATTTAACTAGTCTTAAAAAAGGTGTTATTCATTATTTTTGCCTTATAGATAAAATATGTCTTTTTTGGAAGATAAGAAGAGCATTGGATCTTCCTAAACTTTTAATATTAGCCAGAAATATCCTGTGTCACCCAACGTGTATGTATTTTCCATAGCTGGGCTTACTCTGAATTCTAAAAGATCATCATATGTCCTATAAATTTAAGTAAAATAATAATTATACATGATACTAAAAACTTAATAAAATCGCTAAATTATAGTTATATTTTAATTCTAAATTTACATAATAAAGTAAAACTTTTATTTAACAGTGTTTCCAATAAATTTAAAATTTTAATTAAAAATTTAAGTTAGAAAAATATTTGATGCCACTATGTCGCTGCCGATTTGTGGCGGCGTCTAAATCAGTGTACCGCCACCAGCAGATCGTTTTAAACAATGAAACGTCGCTGGTAAAGCAGTCGGCACACAGGTCTAGTTATACTCAATGATTTTTTTTATTTTTATTTTAATATTAATACAATACATATTTTTTATATATATTATAATGATTTTTAAATGTAATGCCGTCTATATTATATATTTTTATTAAAAATTTAAATAAAAATAGCTATCAATTTTCTTGATTAATCAGTTAAATATCAAGGTTCTAAACATTCCTAGTCAATATCAACACTTAAAAAATTCCTTCTCAATGTTAATTTTTACCAGAAATAAGAAAACACTTAGAATTTTATAGTTTTTTGACATTTTCCGATATAGAATTTTAAAGGATATAAAATGATATATAATTTATGACTTTTTCTTAAGTATTTATTAAAAACAATCACGCATTGCGATTTTTACGAAATAACTTGTGACTATTTACTTTTCAAAAAGTAACTTTAGCAAGATTAGTAATTAATATGAACAAAATTTAAATTATTTAATTCACCAGAGAAGAGCAATGAACAACATTCGATATATTGCACTAGCTGCAAAATAGTTTTGAGTCTGATGCTTCATGGGGACCAGGACAAGGTGGCTGTTGGTCGTTGCGTAGACTGTGGGGCCTATCTATGCCCAGCATGTGTGCGCGCTCACCAGTATATGCGATGTTTTGAAAATCACAGAGTCATGATGTTTGCAGAAATTCGTGCAGCCCTCAATCGCCTTACTGGCACAACAGTTTCAACTCCTAAAAGTGATGGTGAAGAAAATCCAAATCATTTTGATGATGTATTGGAAGCACCAACTATAAAAGAAAGTGAATCACAAGCCTCGTCCACTTCGTCCTCTTTAGTTTTGCGTGATGAAGAAGCTAATGGTAAGTCTCTCAAATCCTTTGCTAGCGAGAGCGATCATGGTGATAGTGGTGACGCAGAGTCGGCTCCTAAGATTAAGTATGACCTAAACCTTTCCTATTTATACCTAATACCTTTTTTTCTGTTACACTTATAACTGAAAATGCAGTAATCATTTATTTATAAAATTGCATCTTTGGAACATACCACAATTTTTATAAGTTTAGAGATTGATAACATTCTCCACAATAATAAAATTTTTGAGTTATAGTTTCACCTTTTTTACACTGTCTTAATTTAAAAAATAACCTTTACCTTTTCTCATTTTATCAATTATTATATTAAAATTAAAATATTAGTGGTATAGCGAAAAAATTGGACCATAAAAATTGCCATAGTGATAAAGACGTTGTTGCATTGGTTAATAGCCTCAAATGTGTGGTGCATTGTAATGAACACCCAGGTGAAAGAGTGAAATACTATTGCGATTCATGTCAGGTTTTTATCAATCATATTTATCGAAATCATTATTAAAACATAATATGGAATTATTAAACTAATTTAAACAATGCTTGTCATATTTTTAAAGTTCCTTATATGTCTGCAATGCCTTGAAATACATCAACCTCCTCAGCATATCTGTCTTTTGTTAGATTCAAATTTAGAGGACAAGCATAAGAAAGATCTTTTACAAGACATTGATACAGCAACTGAAAAAGTAAAAACTAATTATGATTTTTTGTCTAATTATATTTATGAGTAAAATTTTAATCCATTGGTTAAATAATAATTAAAATAGCTTATAAATTTAACTTATAAAAAATATTTGTTCTCATTGTAGGGTTACTAGTTTTTTTTTGTCGGACCATAAAAACTCATTTAAATAACTAGTGGTTATAACGACCTTATTTGTGTCGATTTTTTAAAACGACCCAATTAAGATTTTAGCCAAAATAATTTTATGTAATCTTGTATATTTTGCTCATAGGTGACAGAAAGGTTTGAACCTCTATTTGCCAAATTCTGAGACTTGCATAATATTACTTGGCTTTAATCTTAATTGGGCCGTTTTTACAACACTACCGATAACTAATAAAATGGCTTATTCCATAATATGTTTTATATAATAAGCTTAATTTTACATTAGAAATTTTTTTTATATTTTATATATAATAATTTTTGATTGCTAGACGATTATTTTTTGACTTTTAATTTAGAAATAATATTATATTTGCCACCTTTAAAATTTTTTTTGAACACGATCATGCTGAGACTTAAATTTAAATCATAATGCCATTATTGAAAATAAAATGTTCAACTATATTATGTTAATTTTGCAAAAACTTATGCCAGATGCGTTTGCTAGAGGGAAAGGTGTGCCAGTATGAGAACAAGCTCTTTACACTGGACAGTCAGCAGGAGACGGCCAAACGGGGGCTAGAGGAAGCTCGAGAGTCATGTAAGGATTTAGTGGATCAATATTTTAGTGCCGCCCTTGAAGAACTGGCGCACATGCATACCTCATATGAGCTCAAGGTTATGGAAGCATTCCACGATGTAAAAAAACTGTTGGAAAATTACGAGGATAGGTCAGTCGTTATTTACTATTAAATTTGTAGAATTTTAAGGTTGCTTTGGCCCCTTACCAGCAGATGAAAATTTTATATCGTTTTTTTTGTTAGACGAAAATATTTTTTCCTGGGATGGGCCTTTATCACATACTAGCTGATAGCTTGTCAAGAATAACGGGGATTCAGAAATTTTCTTATCTTATGAGGTGTTATTCAGAAATTTATTTAGATAAGGGGTTATTTTAAAATTTTCCATTATTATAAAATATGTTAACGGGAGTATATATTTAGTAATTTTAATTTATGTGCACTATCAAAAATATATTAAACTAAATTTTTATTCATTTGTATTTGTAATTTATAATCTAAAATATATATTCTTGCTAAACATTAACATATTTTTATAGAAAGTATGCAAAATTTTAGAATAACTCCTTATCTAAATAAATATAAATTTCTGAATAACACCTCATAATTTAGGAAAATTTCAGATTCATCCATCATCAAATAAAGGCGTAATTCATTTGTCACCCATCATTGAATAAATGAGAAAATTCTTATACCTCGTCATTCTTGATGGCCTAATAGCTAGTAACGTATATTTTTGATAATGGGTTCTTAAAAAATCCCAAAAATATAGTAAATTTAATTCAAGATAACAACGGAAATGGATTAATATTAGAGATCAACAAAAGTAGGCCTGTACCTGACCCGAATCTGGCCCAAACGGGCTTCGGGCTAGGCCTAATATTTTTTACAGGGCCGGGTTGGTCCTTAAAAATTTTATAAAATTTATCAATTTTATGTTGAATTTTTTATGTAAAATAAAAATATGTGATTTTATTTATAGAAAATAAACGATATAACATATATCGTTTATTTTGAGTAATTATAAGAATTAATTTCTATATTTAAATAAATTCGGGCTGGGCCAGCAAAATTTTTTAAAACAAATTTCAGGTTCCGGCTGGGCAAAACTTTATAAAAAAAATTTCGAGCGGGGCCAGGCTTGAAAAATTAGGCCTGATGCAGATCACTAATTAATATTTCCCCTATATATACACTTCACAATGGCTTTTTTTATTTCCTTATGTCCAACAATTATCACGAATCTTTTTGCAAATGATTTAAGTAAGGCACATCTGTGGTTTGCCCATTCTTTAAAAAGTCAGACAAGAAATGAAATAATTCAATTATTGAAATTAGATCTTCGTAGACCTTGATTTATTCATCAGCCTCCAGGCCAGGTCAGTAGTAAAAATAATTTGCATACCCAGTCCATATTTAATAAAAAAAATCAAACCCACCCATCATAAGTTTCAAAAATTTTGCAAAACATATCCAAAATTTTAATTTATTGTTTTAAATGAAAATAAACAATATTTCAGTGTATTTAGGCAATCACTTTGTTTGTAATACTGAAATTTATTATTATTAGAAGAAAAAAACGCAATATATTTTTAAGTTAGTCACAGTTTAATAAGCTAAATTTAAATGAAAATTTTTTAGGCTTTTTATCCAAAAACCTGGCCTGGCCCAGGAACATTAGAAATAATATTATACCTGGCACCCCATGGGCCATAAGCCTCCCCATGAAATCTCTGATTGAAATGTTAAACCATTTTAAATCATTAAAATATTTTGCTACCTGAGTTAGAGGTTATTCTATCTCCATTAGTCAAAAATAATTTTATTGATTATTTAGGAATATATTAATCCATTTACATAAAAATATCTTAGAATTTTGACTTATATTATTCCATTTACAAAAAATAATCAATCCATCCAGCATAATTCTTTAAAACGTTTTCAAGTATTATTTAAATAGAATTAGGGTCATTCCATGACAAATCAACCACGATTTGGCCGACCCCCTTCGATTTTTTTAAAATTTGGTAAGCAAAGAAAGGTCAATGTAATTAAAAAATAGCCAAAATTTTAGCCTCCTAGCATTTATATTTTTGAAGATATTAGGGTTCAAAGTGGCAAAAATTACGTATTTTTACCATTATCTGCCTTCATTCAATTAAGCAAATTTTATAAACTAATAATTGTAAATAACAAATCTAATATCAAAATTACGTACAAATATTCTACTTTTAGATAAAAAAAAATTTATTTTTTTTTCCAATTTCCGGTCATTTTATTTAATATATAAAGGACTAAAAACGATTTTTTGGAAATAATACGACCTTCAATTTTTGAAATTTTTTAGTAGACATTATTAAACTCTTCCTTTATATTTATAAAAAAAAATAATCTGGGACGCGGCCATCTTCATTCTCAAAATCGATAAAAATGTTTATAAAAGTGTATAAATATTTTCCCGATAGGGGACATAAAATTATATATTAATCAGTTTTTAATAGTTTTTCTTGAACTATTTGATATAAATTATAGGATTATTCATCTTGTAAGTGAAAATAACAATAAATGGGGCTTACATTCAATTATAGAAATTGTTTATCGATAAAAGAAATTCAATTTATTACTTTATTTATAATTTATTATATAACATATATTTAATGAATAATATTAATAAAATATGTTCAATTAAGTTTCGAGTTCTTGAATATATGAATCAGAATCTTGTGCATTTCATATATGGCGCCCTAAATATTAAAAACATTGATATAATTTAAATTTAAAAATCTAATATACAACTCCATTTTAAAAGATTCTAATTTTTCGGTAGCACATTTACTTTCTTGTGACGACAATGTATAACTACGGCCAGTAGCAGTTAACAGTGAAACAAATGTTAAGATATGACATTTGGGCAAGTAAAGAGTGTCGTCTAATACTTGGAAATGTAAAGGAATTAGAAGTAGAGATCTGCAAAGTTAGGCCCGGCCCGAGTCTAGTCTGGTCTGGCTGAACGGGCTTTGGGCTGAGTTCGGGCCTAATTCTAATTTAAATAATCGGGCCGGGCCTAATATTTTTAAAAAAATTTGGGATGGGTTGGATCGGACCTTGGAATTTTTTTAAATATATCAAAATTTCTCAATTTTATATTGAATTTTTTATGTAAAATTAAATATTTAATTTAATTTATTGAAACTAAACGACAAATAACATATGTCTTTTATTTTGAGTAATTATAAAACTTAATTTCTATATTTAAATAAATTCGGGCAAGGCCGGTACGGTAAACTTTTTTTAAAAAATTTCGTGTCGGGCCGAGCTTGAAAAATTAGGCCCGATGCAGATCATTAATTAGAAAGTCCGGTTGGGTAAAAACTTTATATACATTTCTTCCTACTTTTGATTTTTCACTAAAACAAAGCTAACCACTAATTAGAATCATAAGGATACGTTAGGTATCCTGATATTTCTTCAATAATTATACATTCATCATTATATGATAACTATTCTAAGGTACTTTCTCTTGAATTGGAATACATTTTTCTTTTAAATTGATGTAGATCTGTAAGTTGTTTATTTTGTGTGTTCCTTCCAGGTATAGATCTAGTTTTTGAAAATCTTTCCCTGAGTAATGGATCTTCGTAATCATAATTTATTTTGGTCATCTATTTAAAATATATGACATTAATATTATCTTTATTTAACTTGTACAATTCATATAATGTGGTTATTTACTTTGAGTAAAGCCTTGTATAGCTGCTAATCTTTTAACAGTGCCACCAATCCCATCACAAACACTTTTCCCGTGTGCTGTAGCAGAAAAATGCCATTTCGCCTGTACTCCTAAATCCATCTCATGATGGCAAATATTAATAAAATTTTTACGATTTTTATACTGTGCAGCGGATTCATCGTAAAAATAAAAAATTTTATTTGGCCTAAAAATTTTATTAATTAAAAAATATACCAATGAAATTATGTACTGCTATTGTATTGTGTTGCAAAGATTCGGATATCATTACATAATTTAGGCAACAAATATTGGCAAAATTATCTTTATAATATATAACAAAAGGGTGAACAGTGCATTGAGCCCTATTTCAATAATAAATTTGTACTTCATCCTGAATTATAAAGCTATAGTTTTCTTAAAAATCACATATGATTAAATATTGGTCTTCATCTAAGTTCAATTTTAGATCGTTTTGATACAACGATTGTTGCGTTGAAATAAAAAAATGGAGTAATAAAGATTCCATTTTTTCAAAAAAGGCATTGATAAATTCACCTTCTGGTTTCGTTATTGTTTCAAGAGTGGTTCTATCTATGGATAGCCATTGTTTGTATGTTATAAATTCGATGTCCTTAGAACGAAACAATATTTCTATTTGATCGCGTAAATGTGTTGACCCTGGACAATTATCACATTTGCCCATATGGATGGTTGAGGCGAATTGCAAATTATTAAATGTTAAATATGTTTGTATGTTTTAAAGGGCAACATATCAATGGTTAAATTGGGTAATTTTGATCCCATGATCATTAATTTAAAATTTTGGTGGTAGCTGCAATCACAAACATGTGTACCACTACCTCCAACGAGTATACAATTTTTGGGCGATTGCTTGCAAATTTCGAAAAACCAATTTTAACATCAGGCCTCATTTCTTTAAAAAATATATAAATTTCTTTCAAATTATCTAAAATTAATCTCTTATGTATGGTATTCTCTTTTCCGTTTTTGGTCAAAATCGAAACGCAATCTTTCTTGCCTGGCATGATTCTGCTTATTTCGTCCATACAATAAAATTCTTGTACAATTTAACTGTATATTCATCTATAGTTTTTCCAGGCTTGGGGTTAGGTGTTTATAAAAATCAAAATACCAAGAAATTAATTAAAAAATGAATATAGTGAGCATGTATTATTGAATGATTAATCAATTTTAAAATTTTTATTTATTTTATTGATTGAAACACTTATTTATTGTTATTCTAATTTAGTAAGGCTATTCTGATTTTAGAAAATCCGATCCATTATTTATATTGTTTTGGGTTATTTTATGATAATACTTTTATTTTGTATATAATTTCATAATAATAATAAATTAATATTTGTAATATTTTAAATATATCAAATTATTTTAAAAAATTGAATAGAGAAAATTTTGATATTTTTTTTGACGTCTATGAAATTCACAAGATTCTGATTCATATATTCAAGAAATATAAACTTGGTTAAATATATTTTATTAATATTCATTAAATATATGCTATATGACAAAAAATTTTATAATAAATTATAAATAAAGTAATAAATTGAATTTCTTTTATCGATAGACAATTTCTATAATTGAATGAAAGCCCCATTTATTGTTATTTTCACTTACAAGATAAATAATCTTTAATTTATATCAAATAGTCCAAGAAAAACCATTAAATTTTATGTCCCCTATCGGGAAAATATTTATACACTTTTCTAAACATTTTTATCGATTTTGAGAATGAAGATAGCCGCTTCCCAAACCAATTTTTTTTTATAAATATAAAGGAAGAGTTTAATAATGTCTACTAAATTTTTTAAAAAAATTAAAGGTCGTATTATTTCCAAAAAATCTTTTTTAGTCGTCTTTATATATTAAATAAAATAGCCGAAAATTGGTAAAAAAAATAAAAAAAATTTTTTAAGGAGTCTTTGTATGTAATTTTGATATTAAATTCGTAATTTACAATTATGTAGTTTTTAAGATATGCTTAATTGAATGAAGGCAGATAATGGTAAAAATACTTCATTTTTGCCACTTTGAACCCTAATATCTTCAAAAATATAAATGCTAGGAGGCTAAAATTTTGGCTACTTCTTAGTTACATTGACCATTCTTTGCTTACCAAATTTTAAAAAAATCGAAAGGGGTCGGCCGAAAATCTCATTTTTTTGCTCATTTGATGTGGAATGACCCATTAAGAGTTATTTTAACTGATTGTATGGTTTTATATAAAGATTCCAATATTACTGGTTCAAAAAAAAACAAAAAATTAAAAAGAATATTTTTTTTATTATTTTTTTAAAAAAAAGAATATTTTTTTATTATTTTTTTAAAAAAAATAATATTACCACAATTTTTATTCATCTGTTGTCTTGTTTACAACAGTAATTATTATTATTCAATAATATTTTTGGATTTAAAGAGAAGTTGTTTGGAGAATAGAATAAAAATAAAATTTGGTATTTATTCTATCTTCAGTTTTAGAATAATAAGAAATATATCATGGTATTTTATATTATAAAATTAAGTGATTAATAAATATTAAATATACACATCCTTAAATTAAAAAAAAATTAGGAAAGCATTTCTAGTATTCAAAATACAGAAAAAAGTGGAGATAGAATAATATAATTCTCAGGCGACGATTTGTTAACAGAAAGAAAGAAAATAAAATTTCATTAAAAGTAAAAACAATATTTGAGACAAATGTTAAAAATGAACAAAAAAATTTTAATTGATGCAATGAAAGATAATTTATTAAATGTAGACATAGCATTTTATATTTTGCTCTCTAGTCAGAACCTCTAGAAGAATTGAATGTTTCCAATGGATAGAAATTAAAAATGTTCCCAAGTAGTCAAAATAAAATCAGATGGTTGAATATACAAAATCTACTCTTCACTAAAATTGGTCTGATTTCTCTTATATTCCAATCCTTAAAAATGTAGGCTTTATTATATTCTATAACAGCTCATAATGCCAACATCGAAAGAATATTTTCTTTAATCAATAGCCAAATATGAGGAATAGATTATTTATGTTCATTCTGCAAATTTTTAGAAAAAACCAAATATATTATGAAAAATATGGAATAAAAATAATATTATTTGCGAGTTATATAAATTATCTAATAAAGAAATAATTGGATTTATTCATTATTTTATTCACATCCAGACACATTGTTTTCATCCTCAAGAATTTCTTATAAAATCTACACTTATCTCAAAAAATCATTTAAATGTTTAAGACTTTCATAAATACTCTTTTAAACAAAGACCTCCTAGATTTAAATCAAAGTGTGGTATCCACCCCATTGTAATTAGCTATTTAGAAGATTATTAGCAAAAATAATTGCCATGGGTGAAAATCCAGGATCAAATTAGTTATAGATTGCAATTAGGATTCGGTGTTAAGGGAGTAGTCAAAATAGCCTGCCATTTGTATTATATTCAGAATCCATAGTAGACTTTAAAAATACTTTTAATGACAAATTTCTAGAACATTTCATAATTTGTTTTACTCCTAAATTCCTATAGACATATTGTAACATTAAAACTCCTTTATTCAGCCCACATATCATAGACTCTGATGAAAGGATCCAGCAGGGGTCACATGTCCTCTTTTATTACCTTGGTATTTTTAATCTCATCAAAAATAATTAATTGAAGTTTAAATTTTTTTGAAGTCAATAAAAGACTCATTCTTAATAAATCCAAACAGCTTCCAATGATAACAATTAGTGCAAAATAACAGACCTATTGTATTTTCTTAGAAGTGATGTATTATGTTTTTAATTTAACAACTCCATGGGTGTCATCTCCAAGTGTGTAACTAAACTGGGAATGATAAATGCAAATATTTACTTATATAATCTTTTTAAAATATATAATCATACAAAATGCAAGTGACTAAGCTAAATTTTTTGATTTGATAGATTACCTTTTATATTATTTATCTAAATTAAATTTGTTAGATTTTATAGTTATGAAAAATGAATATTTAGCCTGCAGCTCAATATCTTAACGTCTTCTGATGATGCATCTTGGGTATGAATTGATTATTTAAAAAAAATAATATGACTAAATAAATAACTATGAAAAATTTAACCTTATGAAGATGGTTAAAATGTGATAGAAATATATCTAAATTGCATGAATGCTTGAGTTTGGTATGATGAATACCATTGAACCAAAAACGCTATAATAATTTTTATTGGTCAAATAATTTTTAATAGAACACTATTGGCTAAATTTGATTGACGTTTTTTGAGGATTATTATTTAAGATTTTGTACAAGTTGTCTGGTTTGGTCTATAATAATTTAATATATTATTAGCAAAATTACCTGTTTTTTAACCATTTTCAAAATTTTGGCCTGATAATAAAAATATTTTAAGCAATTTGTCAGGCTAGGTCCAAAAAATATATGTAACCTACTGGCTGGGCTTTGGTCCTAGCCGACCTCCAATCTAAATAAAATATCTATTTTTATTGTTCCCTTTATACTAAATCTCCCTGTGCTTAAGTATTTTTTTGTAATGATATAGATGGTTATAAATTCGGTGAATCATTATTTTATTTAGCATTGGCAAAAATTATCATTTTTTTAATATATGATTCTATTAAATCACGATTTTTTAAAAAATTTTTTTGTTAATTTGTGAGACTAAATTATAAGTGAATAAGAATTCATTTTACAGTTTCCCATTCAAAAAGGAAAAGATTAAATCAAAAAAGTAATGGTTTATTCAAAAGGAAAATAATTATTCTATAAATATATCCTATGTAATATTCATGCATAAAATATCCTTCAAGATGAAATGAATTTTTTTTTAAAAAAAATCTTCAATTTTAAGATTTTTTTCCAACTGTTGAAAACAAAACCTAATAATTATCTAAAATACAAATAAAAAGGTAAATTATTTTAGATCTATTTTTAATATTAGCTAAAACATCTTATTTTTTTCCATTACTCCACACAATAATATAAGCACTGAATTTACTAAGAAAATGCTGCGGCGTTGCAATTTACCTGAGATGCTCTCTCTCAAACCTTTTGTTAAACATCGGTTATTTATTCTTTCTGCCAATTCTGGACTTCCATTAGCTGTTGTTGAACCAGGAATAGACAGACCCAATAATAAATATGCAGCGGCCACGGATCTAGACCTCACCTTTCACCTGGATACGCCAGCCAAGCTGGAAACATTTTTGAAAGAACAATTTTTGGAACCTTTTGTCACCCAGAGGGATCCAGGGGTCGAGAGGGAAACTAAATCAGGAGACGAGAGCTCCTGCTCCAAGTCGTTCACCAATGGCGACATTAGTTCACTTGATAGCTTAGAGCGTGAGGTTTTACTTGACTCATATCTATATGTGAATAAATTTTATAATGCAATCTTTAGGGGTCTTTCTATTATAACAGGTTTTTTAAAGCAAATCTCATTTATTCCAATGATATGTCTGATAAATAATTAAAATTAACATCTTTTATTTTGAACAGGCTAATAACAATGACCCTGCGCTTACGTCTCCATCCTCTCTGTCCGCCATGACATCATCGCTAGCTCTACCCCTCAATGACATGAACCCTTCTTCAGCCTTTGCCACCAATATAATGGGATTGGCTGCATTAGCCAAACTGGGTAACATGACTCTTGATGGCAACATGATTCTCATGCCAGACCTCACTATGCTCTCCCCAGGGCTCGAAAGTACTTTATATAGAGATAAAATATTTCCAAGAATATAAAATTTGGAAAAATTATAGGAAAATTAAAACAAATATAAGAGATGTATGATCAATTCTAGCAAAAATAAGACTTAAACTTGTTAAAAATGTTAAATTTTACATCAAAGATTGATAAAACAATATTAATTTTCTCAATATAAGTAATCTCACTTTGACTTGATATCGTAGAATTAACATCTAGCAATAAATAAATATATCTAACCTATATATAAGCCAAGACCTTATCGTTTATTTTATTAGGGGGAGCTAATACTTTCTTATATTTGATTTAATCTATAAATAACCTTGTTCCTGGGAATATAATATGCTACCCGATTACTAGGAAATTTACCACAACTTTGTCATGAGCTGCCATATTGATAGGATTCTAGACTGTCATACATTTTGCTATTACTTTTCTATTAATGATACTTTCCTTAAGTAATGAGTCTAGCAGTTTAATTTACCCCTAAGCATCTATTACAAAGAAAATTTAAATGAAATATACTATGCAATTTTTAATTCTAATTACGGTTTTGTAACTCAAGTTTTCTCAGATTTCAATGAGAGTTTTTTTTAATTTCATTGTTTTTTCTCTTGTCTTGTATGTTTTTTAAATAGTTTACATGTTTTTTTATCTTTTAAAATACATTTTATTTTAACATAGTTTTGTATATGTTATGTTTTAAATAGTTTTCATGCTTTTTATATTTTATTTAAATAAATAAAAGTTTTAAATTAATTTTTTTTTATAATTTTTAAATCGAGAATGTTTTGCTAAATTAAAATAGCTTTGATATTTTTTTTAATCCTAAATATTTTATTTATTTAAAAATTAATATCAATAATAATAGTAAAATACTCATTTTATAAAAATAAATTTTTTTTTAATAGTTAAAATTTTTTGGGTTATGATATAAGAGCTCTTATAAATTTAAAGTTCCGCTTGACATAAGTAATAATGATAAGTATAAAAACATGTTAATCTTAGATTTTTTTCCTTAACTATATCTACCTTAGAATTTACATTTTTTGGAAATGAAGAGACCATGAGAAGTCCCAAATTAAGAGTTAACACCTAGCCCCAGGCCATCATCTGATGTTAAATTAGCAGGCACCAGAGTGTTTGGTATTCTCACCCTCAACTGAATTAATTGCTGCATATCTTGCTTGTCTGCCTTGACTAAATATACAATTAAGACCATGTTTCCCTCCCTTTGGAATCAACTAATATTTTATGTTTATGGTTACAAGATGCTGCATTCAATTTGGTGGACTATGCTCTTAATTATTTATTTGATAAGAGGTTGCCTGCATTACTACTTGGTAATGCTTCTAACCATTTATAACCACCATAATACAATGATATTGAAATTTTATATTTGAAATTTATGTTAAATCAAACATCTCACAGCTGACTTTCATCGATAAAAATTTATAGGCACATTATATACGATGTTCTATAGTTATATCAAAAACTAAACTTTAGCTCATTAGCAATTATATTATCAGAGATAGGCCCATCGAAATTATTAATTAAAAACCATGTCCTGTATAATAAGGACTTTTATTCCATATTATTTCTCCTATTATTTTGTAATTTTTAATATCTTTTCTGGGGAATTATTTTCCTAGATTTTATTTGCCAAATAAATGCGCGATGAGCCTCTGCTAGCTTTGAGCCAAGAAACCCATTTTGTAGGCCTTCTAGTTTGAGAAAGTGAATTGATAAATTACATCAGGAAAATTTAGGTAAGCCTAATCCTTTAGCTGAACGATACTTTTAATAAAAGTAATGACAATTTTGGATTCTCAAACTGTAAAATATCGTAAAATCTATCATATTTTTTTATGCTATTGAAATATTAAATACATTCAGGGAAAGTCAAGCTTCCGTCTTGGGCGAGCTTTTCTAAAAAGCTCAAAAAGATGGAGTAATTTTAAGATTATATTTAAAAAACTTATATCTATTACAATAATATTGGGATGGGGCATACATGGACCTCTCTCATTTTGGGGTGTTTCTTTTCCCAGGTTTTGCGTTTTTGTTGAAAATATATGATTTATTTTTACATATATTCATAATAATAAATAAATCATTTACCTAAATAAATATATTTTCTCAGATGGCATGAACACCACTAGTTTTAACAATGGCAGTCTGACACGCATCAATTCTAATTCTCCATCTCCTCTTGACATGGAAACTTCTGGTCCTGGCATCAACATGTCGTGCACATTAGCTGAATTGCACCTTAACAAACCGTTCCTTGGTCAACCTATGCTTAAGGTAAATGAATAAATAAAAATTTAATGATTTATAAGATTCTCTACGATTGTTTTATGGGGTACAGTGGCGGATTCAGGTGTTTAGAGGTCGTGACCCCCCCTCACTAAATTTAAAAAATGATTACATTTGGGTTAGTAGATAGAGATCTATAATCCTGGCCCGTACAGACTTCGGGCTTGGCCTCTTTTTAAAAAATGATTGGGTCAGGCTTAATATTTTTTAAAAAAGATCGGGCTTGGTCTTGCTTAAATATTTAAATATGACATTAAATTCTGTGAAATTATTTGATATAATTTAAAATTCATGCAACAAACAAGGCACTAATATTTTTTATTTGTAGAATATTTTTAGAATTAAAAGTTATTTTTTTTCTAATTTTAAATGAATTTGGGCCAAGCGAACAAATAATTTTTATTGTGGGTCAAATTTTTCCAGGATCAGGTCAAGCGCTACAAATCATTTAAAAAAAATCGAGCAGACTTAAAAAATTAAATCCAAATATCAATAGTAGTAGGTGATAAATTTTGTTTTAAGTTATAAAGCAAACAAATTACATAATTCTTTTACACAAGTAAATGTGTTTGTCTTCATTCACATATTTTCAAGATTTTAAAATAATTTTAATCATTATTGTGCACCATATCAATAAATGATAAATTTAAAAAAAATGCATTATTTTCATTGTTAACTAGTTTAACTTTAAAAAATAAAACACTCAAATTTTTTTAGTGTTTGTATTTAAATACATAATGCATGTAAAAAGTATTTAATTTTTTAAATTACAAACGTATTACAAAAGGAAGATATATAATTGTATTATTTGATGTGAGAGACCTGCAGAGGTACGATTTGCATGGCCCATCCTGTATTTAATTTTTTTTTTGGCCAATCCTGATGTTTTTAAAATATAATATTTTATAGATAATAATGGTGATTTAAAATATCTAGCCTCGTTTGGGTATTTCAAAAATAATATTTAGGCCTGGCCTGTATATATTTAAAAAATTAGGTAACTCACTGAAACACAGAAATTTTTAATATTATTTTTTAAAAAAAATATTTATTTTTCTAAAATATAATTAAAAAAATAATAAATATGTGATCTGGATATTGGTGGAAATTTTTTGATGTAATAATAATTCAAGGTTTCATTACTCAAAAGTTAAAGAATTGCTTACTTTTTTTGTTCAATTGGCCTAATTTTAGATTTAGATGCAATAAGATTTTTTTTAATTTCACAGATCTTAAAGAAAATCTTCCTCTTATGTATATATATATATATATGTGTAAATATTCTTATTTTAGTAATATTAAAAATATGTCAAATTTAAATAAATTAATTAAATTTTTAAATGTTATAAATTTATATAGAACTATTTATGTTTTTCCTTAAAATTTTATATATATCTATATATTATTAGTTTATATATTATGTTTATTCAAATAAATTGCTTAATTGTCTAGTATTTGATTTAATGGTCCTACTTAGTAGCATCTAATTTAGCACACATCTTTTTAAAAATTTTAAATAATTTACTCTATTTTTAATGTAAAATCAAAGAATTATGAAAATTTTCAATAAAAAATATTTTAGTTCTAACTTAATAGCATTTAATATAGTACACATCTTTTCCATTTTTAATGTAAAATTAAAGAATTGTAAAATTTTTATAAGAAAATATGGAATTCTTAAAAATTTTGAGTAATGAAACTTTGAATTATTATTACATCAAAAAAATTCCCACCCATATCCACACGATCGCATTTTTATTATTTTTAAATAAAAAAAATAATATTAATAAGTTTCCCGAGTTTCATTGAGTTTTCAAATATTAATATACAGCCTGGCTTGTGTATCTTAGCCAGGCCGGGTCTGCAGGTCTCTGATAATAATACAAACGGGATTCTCATAAGATCACACATCACCATATAGTATTCTATATACTATGATACTTATAAAAATTTTTTGTATATGCGAGATTGTGTATATTTAAAATTACGAATGAAAAAACAAAGGCCATTACTATTCAATGGTAGAGGGCTCTGCAAGTAGAATGTATCCATAATGTTACAAAGAGCCGACATGTCTTATTTTGATGAAGGAAATAAGACATGATATAATCGTTCATTCACATAAATATAGTACAAAAGCATGGTGCAAAAATCCCTGATGTAAATTGGTTACCAAAGTGATTTGTACCAAATATTGAGTTTCATTATATTTTACTTTTGAAATTGATTGTTTTAAATCATTTCGGATATAAAATTTTAATATTATATCATTTATTCAATAATTAAATTTTATATGTCATTCCTTTGTGTTATAAGTTAAAAATTTAAAAAAAAATACTTTTACGCATTGTGTATTTAAATCAGGGTTGTGCATTTGACCGGTCAAATACGTTTCGGTCAATTGACCGATATTTGACCGGTCAAATATGGTCAAATAGGGTCAAATGTGGTCAAATTCAAATATATGTTTTTTTAAAGTTAATATTAACTTTATTTTGAATATAATAGTAAAATAAAATCTATAATATTAATTTTTTAAATTCATTGTCATTCAATAACTAACGTGTAGCTATTGTAGCGGAGTTCTTGTTCTGATTCATTTTCAATATTATCATTTTCTTTAATATTTTTTAATCAATTTTCCTGATGTCTTAGATCTTCAATCAGTGGCGTAGCTACGGGGGTGGTTTTCGGGTTTGGACCCCTCCCAGAGCAAAATTTTTTTTGAGATTATACGTTCAAAAGACTTCAAAGTGATTTTATATGAATTATATTTTTCTGGTTTTGATGTTTTTGGAAGGATATTATATTACTATTGAAATTATTATGGATAGTATTATTATAAAGTCATTGAGAATAATCTACTAAATTATAATAACATTTTAAAAAATATATTTATTATATATTATCGAAGATATGGTTATGATTTGTAAGATAAACCCTGCCGCCCCCCAGCTTTTATATGTATGGACCCCCTCTAAGGAAAATTCCTAGCTACGCCACTGTCTTCAATCGATTTCCATTTTCATAAGAATATTAACCCTAATCGACCTATTTCTTTCTAAAGAAGAAGTAGAACTAGGAATTGTTAGTCTCTTAATGGGCAGGGTGGACAAAGTTTAATCTATTAACTAGAGGTCGGAATTGATTGTTTCTGGAAATTACTACTTTCCGCATAATTTGCTATATTAAACATGCTGTTTTTGCTTCTGAAATTAATTATCTTAAAATATTTTGGTCATCACTACCTTGTAAAAGAGCTAATTCTTGAATTATATCACATACTTGTGAGTTCTCCTCTTGATATTGTGGACACAAAAAATAAGCAAACATTGTGATCACATGTATTTACATCTTTTTTCCCTTTTTAAACATATTTTCAATTTATTCTTCCTTTGGTCAATTGACCCGTCAATTGACTGAATTTGACTGGTCAATTGACCGATTTGCCAACCCTGATTTAAATACAAACACTGAAAAAATTTTAAGCCCTATTCGAAATGTTTTTATAGAAAGAGACGAAAATAATGTGCCTTTAAATATGTCATTTATTGATAAAGTGTGGAATACAGGGTTAAAGCTCGATTTAAATCCAATTAAAAATCAACATAAATGAAAAGCATCAAGAGCCATGTATCTAAATTCTAGATACATAAATATTTGTTTGAAAAACATACAAGCAAATTTAATTTTACATTGGATTATCAAAAAATCCCATATAAGATTTGAATTAATATTTGCTTTTCATGAATAATTTTACGCCTATTAAACTCTGAATCGTTAAAAAAAATATGGGTCTATGTTTTATTTTCCCATTAAATGTGCAGTATAAACTGATCCTCCACTGATGAAAACTTGAGAAGGCTTATTATTAAATACAACTAATATTTTATAATGTTAAATCGAATTTTTTTACCGAAAAATCTGCTCAAAAGTTGGCCAGATCGAATTTTTTTTATACATATAAAAAAATCAAATTTTATAGTATAAATAATTTTTATAAAGTAATTCTTAATGGAAAATAACTAATGAGACAAAGCAGAGACCTAGAAAAATCGATCAAAATAACCTGATTTTCGACCGGCCATTTTTAAAATGGATTAAAATTGTATATTTTATACAAATCAAAATTTTGATGCTCTACCTCAAATATATCCCGAGTTAAAGGCCTTTAAAGTTCGATAAAATTACATTTTATTTATAAATAAACATTTCTATAAAATTATTATGTACACTATAAATATTTTAAAAATACATATTTTTGTACCCCAATAAAATAAAAATAGATTAAATTATCTTTATAAATAACACCCTCTATAATTGCTTTTTTAATTTCTAAATTTATAAAAACTAAATGAAATTTAAATTCTTATTTTCTCTATTCATATTTTTACTTTAAATTTATAAATATATTGATAATAAACACATTTCATAAGCTTCATCATTTTAAATGGGGCACTTTTCATAATAATTTTTGTTTTGTTTTGTCGGAAACAATGACTGAGGATATTTTAAAAGTAATTTGTGCATTTCCTTAAGTAGAATTTTAACGGCTACAAAATGATTAAAATTTGTTACTTTAGACCAAGAATATTTTGAGTATTTTTAGATTTGTTAAAAGAGGAAAAGGCTCTCATCGAACATTTGAGCTAGGCCATTAAAATTTGTAAAAAGTATACAATCTATTTGACCCATGCAAAGAAAAATGGTCGTCCGAATCACATATCGATTTGTCATGGAATTACCCACCTTCATTGGCTGGTCCAGTCCATGAGTCGGGTATAATATTATTTTCCTTTGGGCCAGGTAGAGTTGTTAAAAAGGTTAATTAGGGTTGATTTTTAAAAACGACCCAATTAAGATAGCCAAAATAATATGTTAGCCTACAGATTTTGCTCATTGATGGGATAAATGTTTGGACCTCTATTTGCCAAATCTCGAGGCTAAGATAATATTTGTTTTAGTTAAAATTTGAATTGGGGCGTTTT